GGGCCTAATTAAGCAGCTACAGGTGTGCACAGTTTAAAAACGATGCAGATTAATTCCTATTATTAAGAATATGTGTTATTGTCAGTCACTTTAAACATTTTAAATAGTCTGAACATTAACTGTGCTTGCAGGTAAAAAAAAAAAAAAAAAAAAAACGTTTTAGTTAAAATGTGCTTTTAAAGGTTCATAAAAAATGGCGCTGTTCTTAAAAAGTAAAAAGAAAACTGCTGCACTTAAATTTAAAGTATTCATAATAGCCTATTCATCAAAAGCTGGAAATGTTGCTTGGACCTCATAAATATAGGCTATATGTCATATTCATACACTTTTAGACAAATCTTGAAATGTTAAATGTACATATGACAGGGTTCATACAGGCACAGCCTAATGAAAATCAATTCCAGCACCTTTTTTTTTTTCAAGACTGACATGCTATGTATTGAAGACCTGAAATGTATTCTCAGCAACCCATAAAACATTGCATAGGAATAGATACACATAAAAAACATTAATAATAATAATAATAATAATAATAATATTTATTAATCATATATTAATAATATAATAAACCTGCACTTAATGCTTGTGAAATCTTTTTTGTACTCAAGGAAAAATACTATTACACTGCTAAAATAACACAAATTTTAGTAAATAATACTAATATTAGGTAAAAGTACAAAGTACTCTTTTAAAAAGTACTAGTTGGTTACTTTTGAAAAAAAAATAATCTGATTTTCATTATGAAATCACTTTTTTTTAAAAGTGTAAAAAGGTGTAAACCTGATTGAATGGTTTAATTGCTTAAATCTCAAAGCTACATGTATAGGAATTTGCACTAACAAAGGAAGTATGGTCGATTTTTCATTTCATGACAATTAATCTTTTTTCAATAGCACTGGCAAAACTACCACATAAACTTTAAGGCCATAGAGACACTTTTTGCCCATTTTTAAACAATATTTTCAAGCTTTGAAAGGTTTAATTAAAGTATATGGTAAAAATATTTAAATTTAGCCTTTTATTTACATATTTTACACTATTTTTCTTTACAATATGGCAAATCTGTTTCTTAAATAGCTGTACATCACATGTAGATTTTATTTTACACTTGATCTTAATCTAAAATACAAAAAAAAAAAATAATACAAGTACACGGTCAGTAAAAAAAAATAAATAAATGACTTCATTTTACTTGAAGTATTTGAAATATGACAACACTACATTTATCAAAGCAGTGCTTTAAGAGCCTTATTGTTAATTTTGATAAATAAACAATACGTAACAACGAATGTTTTGACCTGTAATGCTTTAAGACAGATCATAATACAGCTAAATGTATAAATCACACAAATACCTCATCCAGAAACATTTCCAGCATAATTCTTTTGTCGTAAAGAAATAAGTTCCACCTTTGCTAAAAGTAAGTTTCACTTCACAATACAGCCAAATAAGAAGACCATTTGCATTGTCATCGATCATGCATCAATCTAATTCTAAATACTTGATAACTTTGAATACTTTTGACTAAATTTAGTCAAGGAATAAAGATAAATAATGTCTACTTTAATAGTGGAGAGATCGCGATTGTATTCAATCTGAGCACACATGCGATCATGAGAGGACTTGCAGTTCATTTGAAAAAAAAAAAAGCCTATTTAGGAGCTCGCATATCTGTTTTAGCGATTTGCGTACATGAATGCGCTCTCTCGTGTTAAAATAAAGCACTCGCCACATTTGCAGAAATGAGTAATTGCGCAATACCAGTCTATGCGCAATACCTGCATTCCCGCGCCGCCATTCAGAATGTATTTAGAGGATTGACAGGTCAGAGGCGAGTCGACTGGCTGTCGGAGAGCGAAACGTGTATGTAGATCATCAAAAAGGCAGGAAATATGTCCGCAGTTTAATTACTCTGCTAGACATCTCTATAGTGAAAACATCCGAGAAGCATTATTCCAACAAAACATTTGTTTTTAAGTTGTTTTCTCTGTCTCTGCAACACAGAAAGCCTTTGTCCCGCCCTTACGTTTCACGCGACTAGAAAAGGTCGACTGTGATTGGCTACTTTTCATGTCTGTCAAATCACCTTCAGAATCAATGCTTAAACTTCGGAAACTGATTTTCAGCAGCTTATGTCACAAAGCACTAAAATAAACATTCTAAGCACAGCGTTGTGATCGTACGCTTCACCAAGCAGACAATGCTGATCACATCGATGTTATATTACGCATCAAAGGATTAAAAGTGTTAATTGTTTCTTTCATTATTTGGCGATTCCTCCGCGTACCACTAGGAGGAAGCCCGCGTACCACAGTTTGAGAACCACTGCACTAGAGACTTTCAGGTAGATGTGTTGTAGGAAGTTGGAGCTAAACTATGCTGGACAACAACACTCCAGGACAGAGGTTGGACACCCCTGGCTTAAAGCACATCACTAAAAATAAAATAAAAATTACAAGTCGCTAAATAGCAGAAGCTTTAAATTGTAAGATTGTCTAAACTCTTCTTTAAAAAAAAGGTTGAGCTAGAAGCTGATTCAACTTTCTAATCTGATTCAATTATTTATGCTAAGCTAAGCTGAAAGTGCTCACGACAGACCCGCTAATCAGCTGAATGGATTTATAAATGGTTAAACTCAACTGTTTAACTCTAGGAGCCAAAACAAAACTGAGATCTACTTTAATGGAATAGTCACCCAAAATGATATATACTGACCATTTACTCACCCCCAGGTGGTTCCAAACCTGTGTGAGGATATTTTGAGGAATGAAAATCAGTAGCCACCGACATTTATAGGCAGTGGTTTAGGTCCCTAACATTATTAAAAATATCTAGTTTTGTGTTCAATAGATTGTTTTGTATTCCCCAAATTATGAATGTATAACAGCATGATTCGTTTGGTTAAAATTACTGCATGTTGTGAGTTTGTGTTTCCTCCTGCTCATGTTTTGGCCTGTGGGTGGCAGTGGTGTAGCAGGTTTCTTGTTTTCTCACATGAGAAGTTTTCCTTTGATTGGTGAGAGTCACCCTAGCCTGTCGAATGCCCCTGCAACCATTAACCTTCTATTAAAAATGGACACATTAGACTTTTATTAAGCTTGTAAACATTTTCTTGCTTTCTTATTCCAGGATTTGTGGTAAACACTGAGAGATAATACTTCACAGATAAGTGTAAAGGAAAAAACCTTTCCTTTCCTAACTACTTAAACAATTAGTCAATTTTTTCACAATCTTCCGTGTTCATTTATTTGACAAGTAACTTTGTATTGTAGGATAACACATTTTTAACATTCAAGCACATCAAGGTACATTTTTACACCTATTAATAAATTCAGTTGACGTTTTGCCTTCCCATTATTTTAAAGTAATGTTTTCCAAGTGATCTTTAACAAACCATGGAAATTTTCACAGTATTCCTATAAAACAAAAATAATTTCTCTAATGATTTTATAATAAGTTATTTCTTATAGTTTGTCTTGAATAAAAGCATTTTTTTTATTTAAAAAAAACATTTTAAGGTCAGCATTATTAGCCTCCCTCAAAAGTATTTATATTTTTTGATTGTCTACACAACAAACCAGTTGTAAAATAACTTGACTAATCTAACTTTCCTAGTTAAACATAACCTAGTTGCCTTTAAATTACACTTTTATCTGAATACAATGATCTTGCAAAATAACTAGCAAAATATTATGCACTCACTATCACCATGGAACAGACAAAAAAAGTAGTTATTTGAAAATAGTTAAGCTATTATTTTTAAAAACGTAAAAAAAAATTATGTGTTTGAAGACTCGTGCTTTATGTCATACTTAAAACAAAAACAAAAGGCAAAACTAAACAAGTTAAATATTACCTTTATATGAGCGTGACTGAAAACTACTTTGTGTCAATGTGTTATATCTGTTTCCTGGTACTGGCCGACTGTTTGTAAATTCAAAACTGAATGTACACTCAATTTCAGATTAATAATAGCCTATGCATAGCTGAGGACTTCCTATATAATTTTTTTTTTTTTAAATCGCTATTGAAAACAAAAGTCTAATATAATCAACATTGGACATTTTGATAGTTTTTCTTTTGAAGTCTGAATTATTATTATTAATTAATTAATTACTAATTATTAATCCCCCTGTTTATTTTTTCCCCAATTTCTGTTTAATGGAAAGAGATTTTTTTAAACACATTTCTAAACAGAATAATTTTAATAACTCATTTCTAATAACTGATTTATTTTATCTTTGCCCTGATGACAGTAAATAATATTTTACTAGATGTTTTTCAAGACACTTCTATACTGCTTAAAGTGACATTTAAAGGCTTAACTAGGTTAATTAAGTTAGGCAGGTTAGGGTAATTAGGCAAGTTATTATATAACAATGATTTGTTCTGTAGACTATCGAAAAAAAAATTCTTGAATAGGCTAATAATTTTGACCTTAAAATGTTTTTAAAAAAATTAAAACTGCTTTTATTCTTGCCAAAATAAAACAAATAAGACTTTCTCCCGAAGAAAAAAATATTATCAGACATACTGTGAAAGTTTCCTTGCTTTGTTAAACATCATTTAGGAAATATAAAAAAATTAAATAAAATTTAAAAAGGGGGCTAATAATTCTGACTTCAACTCTAGCTTTTTAATCGCAGTGTGTATGCCATTGAGGAACAGGACTGCTGTTTGGAAATAAAATGAAGAATTAAATAATTAATTTAAGAATTGAATCATTAAAATGTATATAAATAAATCACAATTTAAATGGACAAATAAATAGACAGATTTAAATGTGTTTATTTGAATTGTGTTTTAAAACGGCATTAATAAAGCAATAAATAAATGCATTGAAAAACAACTTTTATGTATAAATAAATTGTCAATTTTATAAATGTTTATTTAATTCATGTTTTGAAACGCTGAATAATCAAACAATAAAAAACGTATATTTATGGATTATTTAAAAGCTTTGTTTTTTATTTACTATTACTACTACTATTATTTGCTAGGCTCCAATGTTTTCATGGCCTCGGCTGAGAGAAGCAGACCCTGTCCTGCGCTGCGAGATGGCCTCTACTGGAGAGGTACAGTATAGAGCTGCTTCAGACACATTGATTGACCGTTTTATCCATCACAATAGTCTCCAGCTTATATTGTTATCAGTTTACCGGGAAGCGGCTTCAGCATCAGGGAATAAATGCTCACTGGTTGTAGTCTCTTTAGTTCCTTGTACATGTAGTTTTTGTGTCCCTGCTACAAATTCAGCATGGAGGATTTTTCTGTTACCTGCTCTCCTTGGCAACGGGAAAACCATAGAAACCAGACAATAAAGCAGGAGGAGCGTTTCTTATTTTTTTAGCTTTAGAGCAGGAAGTACAATATCTCCATCCCAGATTTTATGATGGCCCCATTCTGTCCTTTTTTCATAATTGTAATATCGCACCAGTCTACCTTCATTCAGAAACATCTTTAATATGTCTGATTTATTTCACCTTGGCTTTGAATATTGCGCTAATGGAGATGAATGAATAATTTATCCTGGAGTTTCTGCATGCTGCAATGAATATTTGCTTGTGATGGTACGGATCAAGATAGTTCTTCCTAGCTCCTGTGTATTTTTTTTTTTCCCTCAGCGCTTTCTTTTGCTCTCTGCAGGTGGCTTGCTTTGGACCGAACATATACTCTGCCTTCCTGAAGGCCATGCTTTCTACAGGATTCAAGCTTCCCCAGAAGGGGATTCTCATTGGGATACAAGTATGGAGGAAACTTTGTTTCTTTTCTTACCTTCAGGGTTGAATATTTAAGAGACTGTCTGCATTCCTCTCTGATTTACTGAGTAGAACAGGAACATTTCTGGCTGTAATTTCCTCATATGATAAAAGTTTAAAACCTTATAATATTTTAAAGGAAACATTTCTTGAAAATATTTAGTGCACATTTATTAGATCAAATGTAATGCTGGAAACAGTCATCAGAAACATATTAATCAATTAAATTCAGTTGCAAAGTTGGTGAATAAGGGAAATTATACTTTATACTAACCAGAGACAGGCGAGGCAGTGGCGCAGTAGGTAGTGCTGTCGCCTCACAGCAAGAAGGTTGCTGGGTCGCTGGTTCGAACGTCTGCTCAGTTGACATTTCTGTGTGTAGTTTGCATGTTCTCCCTGCCTTCGCGTGGGTTTCCTCCGGGTGCTCCGGTTTCCCCCCACAGTCCAAAGACATGTGGTACAGGTGAATTGGGTAGGCTAAATTGTCCGTAGTGTATGAGTGTGTGTGTGGGTGAATGTGTGTGTGGATGTTTCCCAGAGATGGGTTGTGGCTGGAAGGCCATCCGCTGCGTAAAAACTTGCTGGATAAGTTAGCGGTTTATTCCGCTGTGGCGACCCTGGATTAATAAAGGGACTAAGCCGACAAGAAAATGAAAGAATGAATAAATGATAGTAACCAGAGACCAAAATGTAAAAAGTCTGAAAACAAAGTATGCTATCTGATTAAAGTCTGGTTGCTTATCCAAGTTTTAGGAACAACAAAAAATAACTTGACTTCTAGTTGATCATTTGGTATCAGAAGTGGCTTATATGAAAGGCAAATACCTTTAGATTACGCTTATTTTACCAGAGTAAAATATGATCATGCCTTGATTTTTAATTCTTTAATTAGGACAGTAAGATTTGTCTTTGCTGAGACAAAAGTCTTGTCACTTAACATAAATAATGTACAGTATAGAATATAAAGCCATGGTGCAGTGGAAAATTAATTAATATTGTGTATGACTCCCATAAGCTTAGATGACTGCATTCAAACATCTCTGCAATGACTGAAATAACTTATTAATAAAGTCATCTAGAATGCCAAAGAAAGCACTCTTGCAGGACTCCCAGATTTTATCAAGATAATTTGGATTTATCTTCAACGCCTCCTCCATCTTACCAATAATGTTCATGTCGGGTGACTGGGCTGGCTAATACTGGAACACCTTCAACTTCTTTTTTTCAGGAACTTTAATATGGAGGCTGAAGTATGAGAAGGAGTGCTATCCTGCTGAAAAAGTTGCCCTCTACTGTTGTTTGCAATGAAATAGGCTGCACAAATGTCTTGCTACCTCAGGCTGTCAATCTTGCCATCTACTCTGCAGATCTCTTGCATGCCCTATACTGAACGTAACCCCAAACCATGATTTTTCCTTCACCAAACTTGACTAATTTCTATTAGAATCTTGAGTCCATGCCAGTTCCAATAGGTCTTCTGCAGTATTTGCGATAATTGGAATGAAGTTCAACAATTGATTTATAGGAAAATCTTTCCAAATGATCAACTAGAAGTCAAATTATTATTCTTTTGCTCTTATAACTAGGATTGAAAACAAGACTTTAGTCAGGTAGTGTAAAATAACAATATGTTTTAAAATTTTTTTTAAACATTTGCCTCCCTCATCTATCCTCCTCCTCCACCCTCATCTTCCACACTTACTACTGATGACTTTGCTATATTCTTTAGCACTAAAACTGCAAAAATCAGTGCTCAATTTGCTGCACTTACAATAAACACGCAAGATACACCACCAACACCACACACACTCACCTCTTTTTCTCAGCTCTCTGAGTCTGAGGTGACCAAACTGGTGCTATCTAGCCATGCAACCACCTGTCCGCTTGATCCCATTCCCTCTCATCTCTTGCAAGCCATTTCTCCTGCAGTCATACCAACACTGACTCACATAATTAACACATCTCTTGACTCTGGTTTATTCCCCACTACATTTAAGCAGGCTAGGGTAACCCCATTGCTAAAGAAACCTAACCTGGATCAAACGCTGCTTGAAAACTACAAACCGGTATCCCTGCTTCCATTCATGGCCAAGATTCTGGAGAAATTCTTGTTCAATCAAGTCCTGGACTTTCTTACTCAAAACAACCTCATGGACAACAAGCAATCCGGCTGTAAGAAAAGCCACTAAACTGAGACTGCCCTGCTCTCGGTCGTGGAGGATCTCAGACTGGCTAAAGCAGACTCTAAATCATCCATCTTGCTGGATTTGTCAGCTGCTTTTGACACTGTAAACTACCAGATCCTGCTATCTACGCTTGAGTCACTGGGCGTTGCAGGCACTGTTATTCAGTGGTTCTGATCTTACCTCTCAGACAGGTCATTCAGGGTGTCTTGGAGGGAAGAGGTGTCCAATCTACAGCATCTAAACACTGGGGTACCACAAGGTCCTGTTCTTGGGCCACTTCTCTTCTCCATCTACACGACATCTTTAGGATCAGTCATACAGAAACATGGATTGTCCTACCACTGCTATCCCGATGATACCCAGCTATACCTCTCTTTTCACCCTGATGATCCCTCGGTTCCAGCTCGCATCTCAGCCTGCCTGTCAGACATTTCACACTGGATGAAAGATCATCATCTTCAGCTTAACCTTACGAAAATGGAAATGCTTGAAGTTTCTGCCAACCCGACTCTACATCATAACTTTTCAATCCAGATGGATGGGGCAACCATTACTGCATCCAAAAAGGTTAAAAGCCTTGGAGTAACAATTGATGACCAACTAAACTTCTCTGACCACATTTCTAGAACTGCTCGATCTTGCAGATTCGCGCTCTGGAACATCAGAAAGGTCTAACCCTTCCTATCTGAACATGCAGCTAAACTCCTTGTTCAAGCTCTTGTTCTCTCCAGGCTGGATTACTGTAACTCTCTACTAGCCGGGCTTCCAGCTAACTCTATCAAACCTCTTCAGCTGCTTCAGAACGCAGAAGCACGAGTGGTCTTTAATGAACCTAAAAGAGCACATGTCACTCCGCTACTCATCCGTTTGCACTGGCTGCCAGTTGCTGCTCGCATCAAATTCAAAGATGTTTGCTTACAAAGCGACTTCTGGCTTTGCTCCTTCTTCTGCAGATTTATGTGCCCTCCAGAAACTTGCCTTCTTTGAATAAAAGTCGCTTCGTGGTTCCATCCCAAAGAGGGAAGAAATCACTTTCCTGAACTCTCGCATTCAATCTGCCCAGTTGGTGGAATGAACTCCCTAACTGCATCAGAACGGTAGAGTCACTCGCTGTCTTCAGGAAACGACTAAAAACTCAACTAACCTCTCTGGCTCCAACGCTAACTGTACTACAAAAATAAAAAAATAAATAAATAAAATAAATTACTAATGATTTGCTTCTCACACTTTACATACCTGAAACTTGCCTGCAACACTAATTCATTGTTGCTCTTATAGTAGTGTAAATTACTTCCTTGTCCTCATTTGTAAGTCGCTTTGGATAAAAGTGTCTGCTAAATGACCAAATGTCAATGTAAATACACTTTTAAATATCTTTTGTCAAAACAGAGCTGAACGCGTTATTAGGGTTCAACCCACATTCATATAAGATGTTTGAAACCAAGTGCTTTTTTAACAGTTTATATACTTTTTATTTTATTACTTTAGAAAGTTCAGTCTGCTTTTTCTATAGAATGGAAGGTAACAGGATCTTTGCTCCGTGCAATATTACGAAATCCCTGTATCCACAGTATACCACGCCGAAAACGCATTGCATATTTGATAGCATGCCTTGAAGTCTTTACATTTCTCTTACTTGGGTGGAAGAGTTTGATTGAAATTTAAACTGCACAATTACTGTGGTTATCTCAAATAACTGCAGCTAGATCAAATAACCATGATCAGGCGATTAATCATTCTTGACAGTCCTAAATGATCACAGTCAGCTTATAATGCATATAATGTCTGTATTCACAGTTCTGCTTGGAGCTGATCCAAGCTATTTCCTCATTAAATGCCAAGCCACATAAGCAGCTCTAGTATTGATTATTCTATGTAAATGAATGGTGAAAAAAAATAATAATTGTTGCAGAGCAAGTGCTATTATAGAGAAACCATGCTTCTTTCTAATGTTTTAAACAATTTTTGTATTCATTTATGTTTTCAATATATTTATTTTATGGTGGCTCAGTGATTAGAACTATCACCTTACAGCAAGAAGGTCGCTGGTTCGAGTCCCAGTTGGACCAGTTGGCATTTCTGTGTGGAGTTTGCATGTTCTCCTAGGTTGCACGATTGCCTGGGTTTCCTTTGGATTCTCTGGCTTTTACGCACAGTCCAAAGACATGTGCTATAAATGAACTGAGTGCAACAAAATTGGCCATAGTGTATGAGTGTATGTGTAATTATGAGAGTTTGTGGGTGTTTCCCATTACTGGGTTGAGGCTGGAAGGGCATACACTGCATAAAACATATGCCGGAATAGTTGCTGGTTCATTCCGCTGTGGTGACCCTTTGATAAATAAGGAACTAAGCCGGAGAAAAATTTATGAATGTATTTATTTTTTGTTATTTATTTCTTTTTAATATTTTTCAATGTTTTCTTGTTTTGTTCATTTTTAATTCTGCTAAATGTTTATCATTCATTTGACAATTTAGTCTTACTTTTTAGTTTTAATGCATGGCTAATTTGTGACTGCTCAAGATGAATTAATTGCCACAATAGTGTAATTACCCTTTCATCACACACTGTTAAAAATGCTGGGTTAACATAAAATAGTTAACAATGTTTTTAGTTATTTGAATATAAAACAATTCAACTGTCGTAAACAAAACAAAAAAACTGTGTTGTTGTAGCTCAATTTAAATAGTTAAAACAAGCAGCAAAATCATTTTTTTTTTTGAGTGCAATTTATCATGTAAAATATACAGTGGGTGAAAAAAAGTAATGAACAAGTTATTGTTTTTTCCAGGGAATAATATTTGTAAAGGAGCTTTTAAATTAGAGTCAGGTGATTCTACAGCTTGGTTTTCTTTCTCTGAAACCATTTGAGAGTTTCCTTGGCTGTGTTTTGGATCATTGTCTTGCTTAAATGTCCACCTTGGTTTCACCTTCATCATCCTGATAATGTGGATGTTGGACTGAAGCAGCTAGCATTATTTTACAATGACAAAGGGCCAGGGGTGGATTTAGTGATTAAGGGGCCCTAAGCAATTCCAGCCATGAGGCCCTTTTGTAACTTTTTTTTATCATTATTATTTTCTGGGTGACGCAGTGGTACAGGTAGGTAGTCCTTACAGCTGGTTTGAGCCTCGACTGGGTCAGTTGGTGTTTCCGTGTGGAGTTTGCATGTTCTCACCGCGTTCGCATGGGTTTCCTCCGGGTGCTCCGGTTTCCCCCACAGTCCAAAGACACGTGGTATAGGTGAATTGGGTAGGCTAAATTGTACATAGTGTATGAGTGTGAATGAGTGTGTTCTTCAGAGATTAGTTGCGGCTGGAAGGGCATCCTCTGCGTAGAATATGTGCTGGATAAGTTGGCGGTTCATTCCGCTGTATTGACCCCAGATAATAAACAAACTAAGCTGAAAAGAAAATTAAAGAATGAATGTATTATTTTCTTATATCATTCAATCTTTTTTCTACATTTTATCTTAATGCAAATTAATAATAACACGTAAAGCACTATGTAAATATGTAAAAACTATGTATTTGATTTCTTCAAATGAATTCACAACTAAAAATAATAAACGAACGCTTTCTTAAAACTGCTGGACAGGTCCATGATTGAAGGTGGGGGACACATTTGCACAGATCTAATAATTACTTTCAACATAAACTTTTTAGAGCCTCACCGTAGCAAAATATGATATGAAAATACGCAAACAATGTTATACATAATTTATAGGTATCATTTATACTTCTTGGTATTCATTTGGGGGCCCTCAGATTTCCCGGGATTTCCTCAGCAGAGCATTGCTGAATAACTGCTGAGAGATTTCATCTGTTGTCTGGGCTTTCACTGTCTGTTTACACCTCTCTTTCTTCATGTGTTCAATACTTTTTTCCTGTGTCATTTAATTTTTTTACACATAACTTAATTTCCAAACCAATTAATTTTGTTTTCTTTGCTTATTTAGATTTATTTGGTTGTTACCAACATCCGGTAAAAAATTTCAAGCCAACAGCACCTTTAGAAATATGTTTTTTGAGAAAAAAATTTCCCCCACTGTATAAACAGAGCACACAGTTTTTAAAACAGAAAGTTTTACATTTCTAAAAGGATAAAACTCCTCTCAGTTTTCCATAGGCACAATGTTTTTGTGGTTCATCTTCTTTGGGTGTAACTGTGTGATGTTCACACATAATTTAAAGCCTTGACAATGACACTGGAATTCAGAGGCTTTGTTTTATGCTTTGCTGTAATATCATTGTCAACATGCCCTCTTTCATTTCCTCCTGTGCTCTCTCATATGTTTACGATTCATGGCCACTCTCGGCGTGGAAATCAAACATCTTGTCAGGGTCATTGACGATGCTCAGACAGCATTGTGTTCTAATGGAGTCTCGGGTACAAACGCAAGCATGAAATTCCCATTCGAAACAAAAGCCAGGTTTTTGTAGATGCTACCTGCCTGATGGCTGTACCTGGGGACAGCAGATCTGACATGCTTTTTAAAGCCTGATTACCAGTCCGTGGTTAAGTCTCCGTGAACACAGAGCTGTGTTATTGATCTGGAAGTGCTTAGAGGAAGACTTTTCTTCTAGAAATAGTCTCCAGCTCCGTGTCTGTCCACACAAACTGACTGACCTTTTGGCTTGATCTGTTATTTCTAGCAATTTTGTTTTCAGCTTTGTCATTTTTGTTATTTGTTCCAAGCATAATATACAATGGGGAAATTAATATTGAACACGTCACCATTTTTCAGAAAACATATTTCTAAAGGTGCTGTTGACCTGATTTTTTCCCCCAGGTGTCGGTGATAACCAAAGCAATCCATATATGCAAAGAAAACAAATCTAATTCATTTAGAAATTAAGTCATGGGTAATAAAATGAAATGACACTGAAAAAGTATTGAGCACATGAAGAAAGGGAGCTGTAGAAAGGCAGTGAAAGCCCAGACAGCAGCTAAAATCCCTCAGTAGTTCTTTATCAACCCTCTGCTCTGTCATTGTAAATTAATATCAGCTGCTTCAGTGCAACATTTACATTACCAGGAGGATGAAGATGAAACCAGGCTGAACATTTAAGCAAGACAATGATCCAAAACACAGCCAAGGAATGGTTTCAGAGAAAGAAAACCAAGCTGTAGAATGGCCCAGCCAATCACCTGACTTGAATCCATTAGAAAATACAAAATCAAGAGCAGATTTGATAGACGAGACCCACAGAACCATCAAGATTTTTACACTTGAAGTCAGTGAAATAAAATTACACCACAGCAATTTATATGACTTCTTACTCCATTTGAGAGGCGTCTTTAAGCTGCCGTCACCAAAAAAATGTATTTTATATAAAGTGTTAAATACGTTTCAGTAATTCAGCACTTCTCCTTATGTTATTTCATTATTATTACACAAAACTAATTTTACAGCTTTTTTGTTTGGTTTTATTTGTATGTTTGTAATGTTTGGGTTTTTACCAAAATCTGGTTCAATTCTATGTTTACAACTCCTTTAGAAATATTATTTCCAGGAAAAAAACATGACATTTTAAGCGACAAAAATGGTCTTAGGTTTCTGGTTCTAGTTTTGGTTTAATTCAATAATGTAAATGTCCCTAAGCCTATACATAATCATATTACAGTCCCGAACTAATAAAAATAAGCATATTCGCATCCATTAAAGGGGTAAAGTTATTCCATAAAAAATTTACTGAGTCTCTTTATTACATGTACTAGTGGTACAGTATTTTATTTTAGCAAGTTTCATGAAATAAGGGTGAGAGCATAGCAAATTCTGCTTTAGTGATGCAAGACTTCTAAAAATAGTTTCCTATTTGCCGTCCTTCCACTCAAACCACAGGAACTTTTACCTTTCATCCTATTTTTTACTTGCTTTCTTACTTTTATTTTGTGGTTTTGTTTTTAGCATTCATTCAGGCCCAACTTTCTGTCCACTGCTCATCAGCTTCATGAGGAGGGCTTTAAGGTGAGTCGTTTCCATACACATTTGGGTTTGATTAACAGTTTGGTTTTAGCAAATCATCTGGTTGACACTCTTTCTTTGCTGAATAATGTGCTGGATTAATAAAGAATGAATCTGTTTCTGTATTTAGCTGTATGCCACAGAGGGAACATCAGCTTGGCTCAATGCTAATGATGTTCCAACAATCCCGGTTGCCTGGCCGAGCGTTGAAACCAATACCACACACTTACCCAGCATCAGCAGGCAAGTGCTTTAGTAATTTTTCTATTTCAGTATTTTTGTTAGATGCATCAATTGATTAAATGTTTCAATTAAAATCACCTATGAAATTAAAATGAAATCTTTATGAAAAGAAATATAAAAATAAAAGTGATTGATTATTTGTATTTCCCCCCACACTATAAGCTAAGTGTTTTTTTTAAAGGTTACATTTTTGACAAAAAAAAAAAAAAAAGGATTTTCAATATTTTCAACATATGTACATAGATTACCATAACTCAGTTGCTAGGAAGCATGGTTTTTGAATTGACAAGATATATTGTCAGTATCAATTTGGGTCTTGCATGTGTTTTAATCTGTTAAAGTAAAATATTAAAATATGAAATGCTATTTTAAACTGCAAAATTGTCATTCAGTCTAGATACTGATTTTATATTTAAAATATTCTTTATATACTAACGGAAACCATGATCTTATGTGTTTTCACACCTGCCTTATTTAGTTTGGTTCAATTGCACTTGAGTTTATTTTTCCTCTTGGTGTGGTTTGTTTGGGCTGGTGTGCATGTAGCAATCGCACTCAAATGTGCACAAAAGCGGACCAAAAAAGCAGACCATGACCTCTTTGAAGAGGTGGTCTCGGTACGCTTTCAAACGAACCCATAAACAGTTCATTTATGGTAAAAACATGATCCAAACTATAACAGTTCAAAAAGTACCACACCTTTTTGGACTAATCCAGCTGCTGTAGTCTAATGCGCTGTGCATCACAGAATTTGAAGGGAAAATATTTGTTGTCATCGCTTTACCAACAGTTTTAAACAAAGAGAGAGAGAGGGGAAAACATTACCTGATGGATCGTTGGTAATATTTCCGGAAGATGACCTTGTCGCAGTTTAGCTAAATTAATTCACGCCCCTCCTGAAGTGACTTGTGATTTGGCTTCGTCATATGCAATGCATTAAAACAGCCGCAGCTGTGCTTCATTCTCGAAATGTATAGTTTGGCTAAAGTGATGTATACAAACTAAGTAGTATACTTATATGACCAGCGATACAATCAGCCAGCACAGTCGTCCCTCCATAGTGAAAAATGACATTTGTTGTCTGCCAGTTTGTTTACTTGCGGGAGTTCCATTGGCATTTTCCCGCATGTTAATTCTAATCAATCGAAAAGCAGTTTAGGGAATACGTCTAAAAACATCTGGCCAGTAAGTAAAGTGGATTGTCACATGACTGCGTATGTATTTATTCATTCATTTTCTTTTCGGCTTAGTCCCTTTATTAATCCGGGTTTGCCTCAGCGGAATGAACCGCCAACTTATCCAGCACATGTTCACTCAGGGGATGCCCTTCCAGCTGCAACTCATCCCTGGGAAACATCCATACACACTCATACACACACACTATGGACAATTTAGCCTACTCAATTCACCTATACCGCATGTCTTTGGACTGTGGGGGAAACCGGAGAACCCGGAGGAAACCCACGCAAACACGGGGAGAACATACAAACTCCACACAGAAACGCCAACTGACCTTCTTGCTGTGAGGTGACAGCACTACCTACTGCGCCTCCACGTCGCCCATGACTGCATTTTGGTTCTTTTCAACTGGTTGCGACTAAAGCAATGGACCCTTTTCATATGCCTGTTATGATGCCTTTAACGGTCATCAGCATCTTAAATCCTTGAAAGTTTTGAATATTTAGATTAAAAAAAAAAAAAAAAAACGTCTGAATATTTATATGCATTTATAAATGTATTATATCATCTTTGCTTTAAATGGCGAAAAAAGTATTACCACTTCTGGGAGGGGTTTCTAATGCAGCGTCTATAGGACAGGACAGGACTGTAAATTTAATGTTATTTTCCCTTCTGGCTGCCATTATCAGTCTCACAGAATTTTTTCTTTATAACTTTATAAATAATTTTTTTTCTTTATAACATCATTGTGAAGCTTTTCCTTTATTACTTGAGCAAATAAGATTGTAATATATATATATATGTATATACATACGTACAATTGTTGTATTCTTCCATTCACTGCACTTAAGTTTTCCCAAAAATGACAACGTCCGCTACTGAGAAACCCGGAAATGTGAAAAGGGTCTAAAAGGGTTAAAAGGAGCCAAAAGCAGAAGAAAAACGCTACATTGTTTCATTTGTTGCCCATGGTCCCGACCAAATGAACCGAACCACAGATGTAAAAGCACCCTTAGTTACAGAGTGGTTCTCTTAAGGATCACATAACACTAGCTTTGATTGCAGTGGCATTCGTTGCAGCATTCTTTTAACAACTTTTTGCAATGCCACAAAGTTTATTTTCATTAAAACTTTGTACTGATAATGGGAGCACTGTCAATATCATTTAGAAATATTGTCAACTCATGTATAAAATGATTGCTGGGCAAAGATTAATCACATCCAGAATAAATCTTTTATACGTTTTATATCTAAATATAAATAATATAAACTTTTAACTTGTAATTCATTTGTGATGTGACACATTTTGCTCAGCACTAATAAAAGTTTTTTTTTTCTTTCTAACAGTTTTTGAATTTATTTATTTATAACTATTTAATATTTATCAACAAAGCTGTTATCATGAGAACCAAGAAGTCAAGCCTATCAACAGAGAATTGGAGATCAGTTCAGTTGTCACTTATTTTAGCATTCTGCTCTGTTGTAGCACAAAGACACTGCACGCTGAGATGCTTTAAGAGTGTTTGCCCTCAAGGGTTGCTGTAGAAGGACCACTTTGGTGTAGTAAGATATGTTTACTAAATTCAGATCACAGATGTAGCTGATCACATTCATAACTAATTACTCCAAGCTCAAAAATACAACTTCACATGCATTATTTGAGACTTGTGTTCACAGATTACCATTTGCTGTTGAGCTTTTCTATTTTTGATGCTAGTATAAAGGCGTACATACTAAATATTGACTAAAGCACTTGTGGAAATTTTTTTTTTTTATTATATACACACAAGCATGGGAATTTAGGTTTGTTTTCGTAGCATAATTAAAGCTGGTTTATTTTAGATTGCCTCATGGAGGCCAAATTTTTGTAATGAATCACTTTTGCTTTATCAGGGTATCTTCAAAAGTATTGAAAGCTGATGAATCAGTTTAGAGAAATTTAAGGGCCTTAAAAGGAAATCAAAAGTCTTAAATTCTAGTTTACAAGAAATTCAATTTTGTACAAAATCAAGAAGGATAGATTTTTCATTTTTGTATGTTAAAGTTTGCCTGTATCTAATTTGCGAATATTTTGAATATATTAATAAAATCCTGCTATATTTGACAGTTGTTGCTAGATCAAATACGGTTACGGCCAGAAGTTAATGCAAATTGTATATTATATTATTTATTAAATTTCCCATTAATTGTATTTTATTAATGTCTACCCCCCCCCCCCCCAACCCTAAACCCAACCATCACAGTACTGTAAAAATATGAATTATTGTTATACAGTGTCATAAAAATGCTGCTATATTGATATGCATTTCGCAGCTGGCCGTGTATCCTATCTAGGCTTTACCAGATTTGACACGATGCTGCTTTGTTTACTGCAGTAACCAAGGAAACACCCTTATTTCTGCTGTTCTAAAGGCGCCACCTGCTGCATTACATGTTTAATCAGTATATGAATAATGTTTTAGATTAGGAATCTTTTCTTACAAACAGTATTTAGTAAATACACTCACTGGCCACTTTATTAGGTACACCTGTCCAACTGCTTGTTAACGCAAATTTCTAGTCAGACAATCACATGGCACCAACTTCATGCATTTAGCCATGTAGACATGGTCAAGACGATCTGCTGCAGTTCAAACCGAGCATCAGAATGGGAAAGGAAGGTGATTTAAGTGACTTTAAAAAGTGGCATGATTGTTGGTGCCAGATGGGCTGGTCTGAGTATTTCAGAAACTGTTAATTTATTGGGATTTTTACGCACAACCATCTGTAGGGTTTACAGAGAATGGTCTGAAAAAGAGAAAATATCCAGTGAGTGGCAGTACTGTGGCCGCAAATGCCTTGTTAATGCCAGAGGAAAATAGCCAGACTGGTTCGAGCTGATAGAAAGGAAACAGTAACTCAAAACAGCCACTTGTTACAACTTAGGTATGCAGAAGAGCGTCTCTTAATGCACAACACATCGAACCTTGAAGCGGATGGGCTACATCAGCAGAAGACCACTCCAGGTTCCACTCCTGCCAGCCTGTCAGGAAACTGAGGCTACAATTCACACAGGCTCACCAAAATTGGACAATTAAAGATTGGAAATACGTTGCCTGGTCTGATGAGTTTCAATTTCTGCTGCAACATTTGGATGGTAGGGTCACAATTTGGCATCAACAACATAAATGCTTGGATCCCAATTGGTACCAATTGAGCAGTGTGTCAACACCACAGCCAACCAAAGTATTGTTGCTAACCATGTCCATCCCTTTATAACCACAGTGTACTTATCGTCTGATGGCTACTTTCAGCAGGATAACACGCCATGTCAAAAGTACAAATCATGTCAGACTGGTTTGTTGAACATGACAATGAGTTCACTGAACTAAAATGGCCTCCACAGTCACCAGAACTCAATCCAATAGAGCACCTTTGAGATGTGGTAAATTGGGCCATTCGCATCATGGATGTGCAGCCGACGAATCTTCAGCAACTGAATGATGCTATCATGTCAATGTGGACCAAAATCTCTTGAGGAATATTTCCCGTACCTTGTTGAATCTTGTACGATTAAGGCAGTTCTGAAGGCAAAAGTGGGTCCAATCCGGTATTAGAAAGTTGTACCTAATAAAGTGGCTTGTGAGTGTATACTTTAGATTAAAATGTCGCCAAGGTTACTGGTTGAAACCTAAAGTGGCGATGATGTTTTAAATTATATGGAAAGATTCTTAAAGATTATTGAATTTCACTCTCTGATTCCTGTATATACCCTTTTTATGCTTTAAATAGACTTATCAGTGAAGGACACATTGACCTTGTGGTCAATTTGCCAAATAACAACAGCAAGTTCCTCAAAGACAACTTCCAGATCCGTAGAATGGCAGTGGATTACGGAGTACCTCTTATCACAAACTTCCAGGTCAGACTTTTCTCTTAAATGCATCACGGCTCATTTTTGTTCTTGCATTAAAGGTGTTTTTCTCTTTTCTACAGGTAGTAAAGCTGTTTGCAGAAGCTATCAGGTATTCAAGTGAGTTAGACGCCACCAGCCTGTTCCACTACCGCCAACGCGAGCCCAGACTGTCAGAGAGCTGCACTGCGTGGTTAACTTCTAATCTGGAAAACAGGCAGGAGACTCAAAGTTAAAAGTTACCTGAGGTGCTGTTATCCATCAGGGGCAGGTTGAACAGATACAAGCGCTTTTACAACCATGAATCTCACTTGACAGGCTTTTTCTGCAGGCCCACTCAAGACACTAGTTCAAATTTCAAGATCTACACTTTGTAGCAACTTTTCTATATATTATATAGTTCTAGCATTTCTATCATTTTTGCATTTTAATGTTTGTGAAAATATCTCTTCTGGCCATTAAGGTGGATTAGTTGGTTGGCCTTTTATGTTTCAGTTTAGTTTGAAGCAATCTTGAGTTTTAGGTAACGTGAAGGCAGCCTGACTTTAATCACTCTTTGTGGACGTGGTATTATGGAGCAGTTAAGCTACCTTTATGTTACCTAAAACCTGTATTGGTGTAAACTTAGTGAAAGTGAAGCAGTCAGTAAAGTTGACATTATTTTGTAAATTGGTTTCTACTTTGATGAAATATATATTACCAACTGGGTTAAATTAGGCTTTGCAGTCCTCGTGTTCAGTTTATTACTTCCGTTGTATCTATTCAGCTGAGTGAACAGATCCAATCCCGTGACGTCAGACACAGCGATATTCAAAGATGGTGGTGCCCTAGCTCTAAAAACTATAGTAAAACATGCCCTTTTCTACAAAATGCTTACATTAATCAAGTTTGTTTAATATTTTTTATTAAAGTAGAAATCAACTTACAAAATATTGTAAACTTGACTGACTGCTTTACTTTCACTTTAACTGGCTAACCTGCTAATCTGGCTTCATGGTACAGGCCTCAACTCAATAAGGGTGAATTAATCTGATAAACACTCAAAAACAATATTTGCTGCTTGCTCAAACTATCTATTTAAAATGAGCTGAATCAACACAATTCTTTAGACAACTTAATTGTTTTATGGTTAGTCCACTTAAATTAAAAACAGTTAGGTTAACTTAATCAAAATGAAAGATTGTGTTGAACATTTGTTTACAATGAAAAAATGCAGTAAAAAAACAATAACAATAACAAAACAATGATATTACTGTAATTCAAAATAACATTTCTGTTTTCATAGATTTTAAAATGTAACTTATTTCTGTGATTCAAAGATGTATTTTCAGTAACCATTTCTACAGTTTTCAGTGTCACATGATCCTTGATTAATGCTTTAAAGATTTTTATTATTATCGATTTTAAAAACAGTTGTACTGCTTAATTTTTTGTATCCAATAAAGGACCCAAAATATGTATGCTCTGTCTAAGCTTTTTTAATACATTATTTAAAAATATTATAGATCAAAGTTAAATGAATAGTAGCTGAGTTTGGAGAATATCTACACCTTTTTTGTAACCTTAAAAATATCTAATTAACTTTCATTGTCACACTTTGGGCCCGTTAGTACTAACCGAGCATTGTGTCAATGCCACAGCCTATACCTGAGTATTTAATGCTGCCCATGTCCACCCCTTTATGACCACAGTGAACTCATCTTCTGATGCCTACTTCCAGCAGGATAACACGCCATGTCATAAAGCATAAAGCAACTGCGTGATGCTATCATGTCAATATGGGCCAAAATCTCAGAGGAATATTTCCAGTACCTTGTTGAATCTTTGCCACAAAGGATTAAGGCAGTTATGAAGGCAAAAGCAGGTCCAACCAGGTACTAGAAAGGTGTACCTAATAAAGTAGCCGGTGAGTGTAATATTGAAGTTTTTTTGTTTAAATACACATTAAAATGTACTTAATTAAAATTAAATCAGTCTCTGACCCAAAAAAAATATTAATTGCGTTGTTAAAAACATTTACTGCTTCGTTTTTTCTTAGGGAGAATTATTATTATACTGAACATGAATTTACTTTTATTATTTATTGAATAATTCTTTTAACATCTTAATATAAATTATTCAAATGTTTGCACCCGTGTGTGTTATACCATATACCAAAATAATACAAACACATTTTAGTTAGAAAACATTGCTAATTTATCTAAATTTCTGCAACCTGCTACAGTTATTAACACACTTGCATGTATTTATAAATATTTGTCCACTTCTCTTCAAATTTTACATTATCAGAGCCTTTCCTTAACGCTAAAATGAAAAAAAAGCTGAAGCTAGCTGTCATAAATCATGTCCATACTACTACTTTGTTTAAAATCTAGTGGGCTGAGAGTAGTTTGTGAGTGGGTTGAGACAAAGTTAAAGCTTTCCGCCTGTTTTTAACACTCAGCACTGTCTGTTCAATGTACCAAAGAGAGCGAGAATCTGCTGCTGTCAGCACACAATAGCAGATATGCGTATGATTACACAAAAAGAAAATGATTTCTGCGAATTTGTCCGTGTTTGTGCCCGTCTTGCCAAAGTGAAAAGTCTAGACTTCATTCCTCAATAAATATTAATAAACATCCCAGGAAGTTATTTTACGCTAGAGCAGATCCTCAAGAACAGGTCATTTATAATTAACATGTTTAGTGAGATGGAGTATCCAATAAAAGGGGCAAAATATTGATGCTCTTTCATATTCTTTCATATTTTCCTTCTTACTAGAAACACACACACACACAAATGGAAGATATCACGCTCAAATTACAAAGATAAATTAGTGGATGTAAAGGAATTTACAGCAGCCTCTTAATCAACGAAAAGCTAACGCTACAATATCCACTTACACTAACCTCAAACTAATGTCATTCACGAGAGAAGCGTTTGAATCTTCTTGGAAGATTCCTCATTCAGCTTTATTAGCCTGCCAGTAATAGTAATAGAAATATCAAGCAGTTGGCCATTACTCTGAAAGAGCATTATGTTTAGTGCTTTAAACATCACTTAAATGCTGTGCTAATTGCAGAAAAGCTAATATTATGAGCAAACAGCCCACCAGAGTGTTGCACATTATCTAGTGGTCTAGATATTGATGCCACAATTAAATCCCAGCACATCAGTGTTTGTGTGGGAGTTAAGTAGGATTCGTGTCACAGATCATAATGATGAGAGACTGCAGAAAGGAAGTAACTAAACTGGAAAAGGGGGAGTAAAGGAATAAAGAGCAAGAAGTCCTTTAAAAGTACTATAGACAATATAATTGTCTATAATTGACTTTGTTATTCAGCCTAAAGAACTAATTCTTAATATCACAAACCTCTGTCAACATTTTTTAATAAAAGTCATTATTTAAAGATTATGGGCTCTATTTTAACTTTCTAGGTGCAAATTCTGAAGTGCAGGGCGCAAAAGCATTAACAATTTATGCGAATCCACTTTTGGTATTTTAATGACAGAAAAATCCGTTTTGAACCGCGGCGCATGGGCTAACAGGGTTGAGCTTATTCTCTTAATGAGTTATGGGTGTGTTTTCAGAATAAACCAATCAGAGTCTCATCTCCCATTCCCTTTAAGAGTCAGTTGTACCGCACCATGGCGCATTTGCTATTTACATAGAGGACTTTGTAAGTGGAAAAACTAAGCGCTTCGTTATCGAGTAAACAGTTAAACAGACCATCTGCAGTGCTAAATGAGAGAACGAGTCTCCTCTTATCGTCTTTACTTTCACTTTCTCTCTTTCGTGAATACTGCAATGTTTTGTACGCACTGACATCCATCAGTCTACATAATTAATTTGATTTGTTAAGCGCAAACATTTGTTTCAAAACTATTTCTAAATTCAGTTCCAAATTCCAGCAAACAAATAAATGAACAGTAATAACAAAGTGTGGTCAAAAAATTGAGTTATATCCAAATGCACATGCCATATGGTCCAAAACCTGACGGATGAACAAATCTAAGCTTGTCTTTAATAAAACAAATATAAATATGCATATAATACTGCTACTAATAATAATAACAACATTAAATAAAGCAAATTGTCCTGAATAAACTGAAAAAAGCCCCTTGAGATGAAGAAGGCTTGAAGGTAGTGGTTTTTACATTTCTGTAGAAAATAATCTTTTTAAAAAAAAAATTTAATCCTTTAATTTTTTTTCATTTGTAAAGATATTTGTGTACTGCTGTACATCTTGCATGTTTTAAGCAATGTGTAAGCGAGGCACACAACTAACGCGCTCTGCGCTGGACTTTAGACCTACTCTCAGCTGGTCAATTGCACAGTCTATTTTAGTTCCTCAAAATAGCAATGTGCCAACAATGCGCTTTAACACACTTCTTTTCTAGAACAAAACACCCATGAGTCCACAAAGTGGCACAAATTGATTTACTATTTAAACAACATGGCGGAAAACGAGAAAATAAGGGTAGCGATTGGCTAAAAATAGCAACACGTCGTGGAAACATGTCTTGCGCCGGGTGTATGATTAGGCCCTATGACTTAAGCATCTTATTTTAACTTAGTTTCTGCGGTTTCTTTTTTTCTGTCATTCACAGTTCAATGTGCGCTGTACTGCGCATGATGAGAAACAACAAGGCAATATGTTTACCTATTATAGGCTACTATAGTATATAATTATTTTGTTTACTTTTTTACATATAATATTGCATTCATTTGCATAAATATTTTACAGCTTATAAAATGAATGCCTCAGTGTGGTGCGGAGGTAACATGCAAAAATCATAATTGGATTTGTTTGTAGGCTATTTAAAAATAGATTTTTTATAAGAAACTGTAATTTTCTAAATGGAAAGAAGTTGGTTTGTTGGTTGCATATGCTGTATTTTTTAATATAATATAATTTTATATATTATATATATATAATATAATATTATTTTTTTAAATGCTGCATTCCATAGCCTTCCCCAGCCTTACACATGCTCAACATGTCTGTTGTAAGGCTACGGGCTACAGAGCCCTGATGACATGCAGACAAAATCACAGGCACAATTTTAGAAAAGTTCTCACTAAGCTACACATTAAGACTTCTATTAAATTTTTTTTTAAAATCTATTCGAATTGAATTTCCTACCTGTATGCGTTCTTTTGTTCAGGCATAAATGCCATTAATTAATTTAAGTTTGTAAATTAATTCTTTTCTTCCATAGATTTGGTCGGACTAATCGAGAATCAGAATCAGTTTTATTGCCAAGTGTGCTTCACACACACAAGGAATTTGTTTTGGCTAGAGAACCTTCCAGTGTACATAAAGTGACAAGTGACAACACAAAATAAATATGGAAAAAAAAAATACAATAAACATTACACAGGGGTTCAATTAGTCAAAAAAAAAAAAAAAAAATTACAAATTTCTGGATGTTGAGTTGTATGTTGATTTGTTATAATACAGTTATATAAGGTTATAAGGTGCTGTGTACAAATGTGAATGGAGAAAGTATCGCATTGTATATTAATATAAGGTGCTGTGTACAAGTGCGTATGAGAAAGTATTGCGCTTGTTTATTAGGAAACTTTTCCTGTGTCTGGCTGTTTTTGTGCCTGGTGCTCTAAAGCGCCGACCAGACGGTAACAGTTCGAACAGGTAGTGTGCTGAGTGCAAAACATTCAAATAACATCAACAACAAACTGAACAAACAGTACTTGCCAAATTACAGTGAGTTTAGATTTCCGCCATAACAATCGCAATAAGGAACACTGCACCCTACGCAATATGACAGAAACATTTAAATACTCTAGCCATTAATTTAAAGATCAGCCACTTCACTCTCAATGAAATGAGGTTATAATCTAATTAATACATATTAAACCAATTTAACATATTTAAAAATACACAGGCTAAGTACTGATGTTTTTGTTTTGCACTTTGAAAACTTGAATTTTCAAACCGCTTGCTAGTTATTTTGTTTTATTATCTTGGTCTGAGGTCATGTCAATAAAAAAATGGCATGTAAAATGATGTTCAAACTCAAGTTTGTAGCATTTAACACTGAATAAAGCACATAATCGGTACCTGAGGTCCTTATTGACTTTGTAGTTTATGCTATTGATTTGTCTCATCGTGAAAACAGAAATAGTTTCTAGATATTTTTTCATGCCGCAGTCACAGATGGTAAGGACAAAAACAACTTTTACCATAAATATTATAATACATTTTTATATGTTGTCAAATTATTTTGATTATAATTAAGGCAGATTTTTGACCAAGCTTTTTCAGCTGCACAAAAAACCACTCATATTTTACCAGGGCAAACTACTATCAACAAGCTACTGTATATGTATAATTGGGAGACTTTGGAGCTATTTCTTAAATGGACATTCTTATGGGTTCAGGAGTGATCCATTTAAGCAGTTACAGGTTGAGTGTCATTATATCAGTGTGAATCGCAGGTCTGGTGCACCAGCAGG